TTTGGGGAGAGATTTGGTTCCTCCCCAACTCATGTGACTGAAGAGGCTAGGATGGCTGTTATAGAGGCGCTGCGGAACCGCCACCTTGTCATTCCGGAGGAGGATGCGTATCATGTAGGAAGATCGGAGGTGTCTGACGCTGAAGTGGAAGCGGTGCTCAAGGAAGTGACGCCAGGCAAAGCGCCCGGTCTAGATGGCATCCCAATTGAATTATACAAGGTGTGTCGGAACGAGATTGCACCAGTTCTTGCTCAACTGTATACAGCCATGGGCCAAACCCAAATGCACCCAGATGGCTTCTTGCAAGGTGCTATCACGGTTATTTATAAAAATCGGGGGTCTCCCACCTCCCCGGGTAGTTATCGACCGATTACCTTGTTGAATACAGATTACAGGATTCTCACCAAAATTTTAACCCGTAGGCTGAGTCCAATACTAGGGCGAATTATCACGCTCGAGCAGTCTGCTTTTCTGCCGGAGCGCTTGATAGGTGCAAATGTTCTTTCCTGCGGCATCTACCGCAACTTATGTCGACGACAGGACAGTCGTGTCTCCTGGATTTTTTGGATATTGCTAAAGCTTACGATTCCTTGGATCGTAATTTTTTATTTGAAGCAATGGATGCTATGGGCGCAGGAGCAGGGTTAATTAGTTGGACTAAACTTCTTTTATCCGATACAGCGTCGAAAGCGGTAGTAAATGGTTTTGTTTCCCGTGAAGTTGCTCTTACAGCGGGTGTGCGACAGGGATGTCCGTTGGCACCGTTGCTATACTTGTTTGCCGCGCAGGCGTTACTATGTTGGTTACAATACAACCGAGTGGGGATTCATTTACCCCAAAATAATTCAGAATTGGTTACAGGTGTGCAATTTGCTGACGATACGGAAGTTGTTTTAGAAGGAATCCAAGCAATTCCGGCTTTCCTTGACTGTATGAGGGTGTACGCACAGGCTTCTGGACAGCAACTTAACCTGGATAAGGTTGAGCTGTTACCTCTCGGTACCCACCCACAGCATATAACAATAAGGCAGGCGGCTGGCAGAAGTTAAGGCCTGGCTTCTGCTCCCATCGCGTCCCGACGCGTCCGGGTTCAAATCCGCCTGCCGACCTCTTGGGGTGTTGGAGAGGTGATGAAATGGGAGGTGGCCCCCCATCTTGTGGACGGTGTAGGACGTGATAAAATCAACTCGCGAGCTGACCAGGAACTAACATGACGCGCCGTTGATCCGCTAGACTTGGTTGGATGCTGGTGGTGAGTTGCCAAACTCAAAGAGTACACTTTGAAGTCGGATGGGGTGAATGGCTTAGGGTGCCCCTCTAGCAGGGGAGAGCAGGGAATTGCCTCGGGAAGGAGGCCACTGGTGAAGCTTAACCACC